TTTTTTAATAAATATCATTGCTATTACATCATCCGGCATCTCTCTCTCTCTCTCTATGTCCCGGAGAAGTCGAGTGGCAGCGCCAAAAGCATAACCAGTGGACACTTAGGGAGGACCGACCGTGTGACCTCAAGGAACATACACACACTCAAGGCCACAGCAGGCCGAGCTGTCTCGCGAGACGATCGTTTGACTGCTTATGCGACGGCGTTGCGTTGTTGATTGCCAACATCTGCTCTGCGACACGGCTGCGACCTCACACCAGCAGACCCCGCCGGAGGGTCCGGCTGAGCCCAGCTCCGGATGTTCCAAGAGTGGCGAGACCCTTGGGTGCACTCTGCTCGCACTCTTTAGCTGATGACGACGCTCCGTCTGCCTAGCCAAAGCGTTTCCCTGAGCGCCCGGCTTCCCTACACAGGGGCCGGTTGGGGGTCACGGTCCCAGCCGTGGCCCTGATCCCTCTGCTTGGGACGGGGGGGGCGTCCTAGAAAGCATCCCAACCCAACGGTTGGTGCGTCAACCCTGGGGCCGGGACGGCGCCTCTACCAGATTGGATGAAGACGAGAAGACTGTGGTTCCGCCATCTTGAAGACATACTGGTTACATTCGCAGGGTCTCTTCCCCTCCGGCGTGGTTTCGGTGGGTCGCCGGGACGCGCGAGGGCCTTACCATACTGGTTACATTCACAGGGTCTCTCCCCTCCGGCGTGGTTTCCTCCCTCGGCTCGGTGGGTCGCCGGGACGCCCGAGGGCCTTACCATACTGGTTACATTCACAGGGTTTCTCCCCTCCGGCGTGGTTTCCTCCCTCGACCTTGGCTCGGTGGGTCGCCGGGACGCCCAAGGGCCTTACCATACTGGTTACATTCACGGGGTCTCTACCGTGTCTTCTCTTATGTGTCTGACGACTGGGTCCCGGGGTCCTTATCCCACGAGTTACATCCACCGGGCCTTTCCCCGGCGTGGATCCTTTGGTGACACAGGAGGCTCCCGTGGCCCGGGAAGGCTTTACCGCACCGGTCACACCGGTAGGGTCTCTCTCCCGAGTGCGTCCTGCCGTGCAGGAGGAGGCTGCCCTGCCGGGCGAAGGCCTTCTCGCAGAGGTCACACCGGTAGGGCCTCTCCCCGGTGTGGGTCCTCCTGTGGACCCGGAGGCTGCCCAGCCGGGCGAAGGCCTTGCCGCAGTGTTCACACCCGTAGGGCCTCTCCCCGGTGTGCGTCCTCTTGTGCCTCCGGAAGCTGCTGTGGCAGGCGAAGGCTCTCCCACAGTCCCCGCACCGGTAGGGCCTCTCCCCGGTGTGCGTCCGCCGGTGGATCAGGAGGTGGCGTTGGTACACGAAGGCCTTGCCGCAGAGGTCACACCCGTGGGGCCTCTCCCCCGTGTGCGTCCTCTTGTGCCTCTGGAGGCTGCTGTTGCAGGTGAACAGTTTTGCGCACTGGTCGCACGGGTAGGGCCTGTCCCCGTCGTGGGTCCTGCGGTGACTCCGGAGGTGGCTGCGGAAGGCGAAGGCCCTGCCACACTCGCCGCACGCGTACGGCCTCTCCCCCGAGTGTGTCTTCTGGTGCATCTGGAGGATGCTGTGGTACAGGAAGGTCTTCCCGCACTGGGGACACTCGTAGGGCTTCTCTCCGGCGTGGGTCTTCTCGTGCCTCCGGAGGCTGCTGGGGCACGCGTAGGCCTTTTCACACTCCTTGCACTGGTAGGGCTTCTCCCCTCGGCGTGTCCGGCGTGTCCGGGTTCGAGTCCGTTGGTGGCTCCGGGCTCCCCCGAGCCAGGGATGTTCCTCTCCGGGGCCGCGTGCTCTCTCGAGGCGCCTGAAAGAGAAGGGGTACACGGGTAAGCTCTACCGCTTTCCTCATGTTGGTGAGTTTTTTGGTGTTTTTTTTGTTTAATAACTTATTTCATTTTATTTTATGCGCATTGGCACAAAGGCGTCAGGTCCCTTGAACTGGAGTTTCAGACGGCTGCGAGCTGCCGTGTGGGGGTGCTGGGAGTTGAACCTGGGTCCTTTGGAAGAGCCAACCTCGCTCTTAACCACTGAGCCCTCTCTCCCGGCCCTTGGTGAGTTTCTTTACGTGCGTGACCTGATTTTTATAATTCTCATCTGACGGCAGGGAGGAAGTCAGACCTTGGGGTCTTATGTTCTCCTTTCATCGCAGATGCTTTGAGCCTTTGAGGATGGTAACCGTGACGGTCAGAGAGTCTGTGACATGATTCGCTTGCGACGTCTTTTTCTCCCCCCCCCCTCAATCTCGGGTTTGTCACGTACTTGAAGAGAACGGGAGAAGCTTGGCTCTACCACACTCGCCGTGCCCGTCGGTGTTTCCCATGCCGTGAGTCACGGCACGTTTCTAGGACGAACCGGGACCCAAGGGAGGCATTCCCACGCGCCTGGTAGGCACCCGCAGGGATTTGTCTGCGGGGCGGTTCTCGCGGAGGCATTTCCCACCGACGTGGGAAAAACTGATTGACGGCGTTAGTGAGCTCGATTCTTTAGCAATGGCACAGGCTTTCTGGACAAGAACCGTCGACCTGGACGCGCGTCTGGGACGGTCCGGAAAGGAGCTACCCACGATGACCCGTGTGTGAACATCATCCCCAGAGGAGCGGGCGTGGCTAGATCGAATTAGAAAGAGTCTCTACTGCCAGGACCTCACTGGTATTGGGACACTGGATTTTCCTCCACCTTCTAATTGATCATTTGATCAACGGATGATGGAGCGCTCGTGAGCCTGTGTCACCTTCGGGAAGGCTGCTGAGCGCCTTCTCATCGTTCCGGGAGAGAGGAGGGGATGTCCTAATTAGAGAGACATCGGACCTATCACTCAGTGACAGAGGCTTTCTGCAAGAGCCATTGGGGCATGATTGGCAAAAGAGATTGGCAGTTCTAGAGAGCTGGTGTAACCAGGCTAGGATTCAAACGGTGCTGTCTGTCAAGGCATCGTTCCCTCGCCCTCGTTCTTAGAGGCGCGCCCTGAAGACAAGAACCGTGATGGGTGAAAACTTCTTCCCAGGAATCTCCGAACCAGCTTGCCCGTGCAAGTTACCTCGCGTGTCTCCTGGGACGCGGGCAGCGGTATTCAATCACGTCGTCTTCCCAGTTGTAGCCTGAAAGACGTATGAGAAAACGCTTGAAATGGCATTGGACGTTGGGCGAACATTTCAGTTACTGTCTGCAGCGAACCTTTGAAACACGCCTGATTTAGTGAGACGTTAATCCTTGATCTCAAGTGAAGTAACAGAAAATCATCACCATCCATCATTCATCATCATCATCATCATCATCATCACCATCATCATCCATCATCATCCATCATCATCATCCATCATCATCATCATCATCAATCATCATCATCATCATCCATCATCACCATCATCATCATCATCATCATCATCACCATCATCATCACCATCATCATCATCATCACCATCATCATCACCATCATCACCATCATCATCATCATCATCACCATCATCACCATCATCACCATCATCATCATCACCACCATCATCATCATCATCATCCATCACCATCATCATCACCATCATCATCATCCATCATCATCATCCATCATCATCATCCATCATCACCATCCATCATCACCATCACCATCATCACCATCATCATCATCACCATCATCATCATCACCATCATCCATCATCATCATCCATCATCATCATCATCCATCATCACCATCATCATCATCCATCATCATCATCATCCATCATCACCATCATCATCATCATCACCACCATCATCATCATCATCCATCATCACCATCATCATCATCACCATCATCCATCATCACCATCATCATCATCCATCATCATCCATCATCATCCATCATCCATCATCATCACCATCATCATCATCACCATCATCCATCATCATCATCAACAACGGTTGAGCCTTGGCTTTTAACAATGAACAACAATTCACTGTCTTACCTACAACAACCAGGCTCCTGTAGGTCTCCAGCATCACATCTTTGTAGAGACTCTTCTGGGAAGGATCCAGCAAGGCCCACTCTTCCCGCGTGAAGCTCACGTGCAGGTCGCCATAGGTCATTCCGTTCTAGAACAGCCCAAACAGATGCATAACAGAACGCGTGACAGTGGAAACGCTGTGAATGTAGATGTCCCTGCCAACATCTATTCCTGTAATTCCGGTGCTCCCCCCCCCGACGTCTCTCCTCACACAGGAGTGCCAACGTGATCACCGAGTCATTTCGGGAGGAAACTGGATGGGGAGGTTCACCCGTGTCATCTCTGCACCCTTTCAGGAGGACACGGCCTCGCGAGAGAGAGGACAATCAACAGAGAGAGAGAGAGAGAGAGAGACGAGCGGAGAGATGAACAGGACTACGAGCACGTCGGAGAAATCGGAGGGACAATCAGTAGGGGGCAGAGGCAGGGGTAGCTCACTGGGCTGGAGGCCAGCCTGGTCTACGCGACGAGTTCCGGTGGCCCAGAGGTGCGTGTTAAAACCCTGTCCCTCCTGCAACCGTCAGCCAGAGAAGCCAGACGGACACAAGGAACCCAGAGGTGTTTCCAAGGACTTGTGGCGCCTCCATCCGAGCTCTGGCTTCGCCATCCTGGAACCTGCAGTCGCCCGGGTTGACCTGGACGATCAGGGCGGTGAAAGCACTGCGGATGGGGAATGAGCGACAGGAGGCAGGAGAGAGGCTCTGCAGCGGGGGGGGGGGGGGACGTCACACCCGCGACCTGGCGACTCCGGACGTCGTCTCGGTGTGAATGTCACGGACACAGCACGTCCCGAGAGAAGCCGAGCACACGCCCTGCCAAATCTCGGGATGCGAGGGCGGATGTGGATGCGGATGAGGGTCAACGGCGTGTGCTTGACGTGTACAAAAACCCACGTACCAGGGCCCATCAGCCCTGGTACACGGAAAGGGCAGATGCCAGGCCTACCGGGCCTCAAATCCCGGTATGTCCCCCCGGGTAAGGGATCCGGGCAGGTTCCTCCGACCAAAGCTGCCCCCAGCTCCACCAGGGAGAGAAGAGTGTTCAGAGTCATTCTCCTGCCTGGGAGCTTTGTGATCCAACCAGCTGCACTCTGACCCTGGCCACTATGGGCTCATGGTCCTCCCACCATGAAAACGCACTTAGTCAAAGCTCGACGACCCTCACCGTCTGCCACAGCTCACACGCGGTGCACATGTCCCAGTCCTTTCCTTGACGCTGAACACAATCTCTTGACCGCCACTTCCTGTCAAATCCCGACCTAAGTCCTAGCAAAGAAAACCTGGGCCCGCAGGGGCCTGCGGAGACCGACGCGTCAGCCAAGGGCCACGCACGGAGGTAACCCAGAACCCAGCACAGACGTAGCCCATGGCAGCTCGGTGTCCACGAGGCGCCCCAGTAAGGGGAACAGGGACTGTCTCTACATGAACTCAGTGTCTGGCTCTTTGATC